GATGTGGGGCTTGATCCCAGGACCCTGGGATCATGACCTGAGCCGAAGGCAGACGCTTAACCATCTGAGCCACCCAGGCGCCCCCTAATTAGGATTTTAATCTAGGATTCCCATTTGACTTTATCTCAATGACTGCCTTCCTCTTTTCTAAAATTTCTAATGTTTATTGTTTTTTTGTTTGTTTTTTTAAAGATTTTATTTATTTATTTGACAGAGAGAAAATGAGAGAGAGAGAGAGCGAGCATGGGGGGGATGGTCAGAGGGAGAAGCAGACTCCCCGCCGAGCAGGGAGCCCGATGCGGGACTCGATCCCGGGACTCCAGGATCACGACCCGAGCCGAAGGCAGTCGCTTAACCAACTGAACCACCCAGGCGCCCACTAATGTTTATTGTTTTGTTTTATGCTGGTGAATTGTCTAAAAACAGAACCCTGATTGGTAGTTTGCTGACTTCGGTGGTAAACACTCCCAGCACCCGTGACTTAACAGCCAGCTTGTGTTGAGTTTCAGCACGCCACTGCTTTTGTCTAAATCTACTCAATAGTTTTGTGCTCTTTTCTAGTGAAATGCATTTTTTTTCTTTAAACATTCAAACATACTTAAAGCCTTTTATCAGGCCATTCCATAAAAGTAGTTTTATCTGGGGTGAATTTGATCTTGTTTGCACTCTTCCTTAGCATAGATTTCTTCCCCCTGACAATCCACAGGTGGGTTTAGCAGTTGGCTCCACCCAGCTCCTGCCCTTTTGACTTTTATTCTAGAACCAGGTCTGCTGACATTCGGTAATCTGGGGATATTACAGAACAAGCAGAGTCAACAGGATTGTGTCAACTGCTTGTTCTAAGAGGGGGTGGGTGGTCCAAGTCCTTCCACCGCCTTCATGGGTCTGGGTCTTAATAAAAGTCTCCCAGCAAGCCAGCATGCAGGTCAAGTTCCAGTCCAGCTCCCTCCCAGCAGCACGCCTGGCTTTGGTTCCGGTCTTGTATGCGGTGCTTCCAGTGTCCTCTACTCCACAGGACCCAACAGCCGGTGGCTACTCTGTTTCTGGACCGGAGCCCAGCAAGCTTTTGGCTTCAGCCCTGCCTCAGCACTTGGCATTTTTACCCCGTTGCTGGTCCACAGAAACATTCACCTTGTTTTTGGGTCAGGCGGGGTGGTGTTTCTGGTTTTTACCTTTCCTGTATCACTGTTGTTTTGGGGACAAAGTGGGTATCACTGAACTGGAATGCTGGTGCCCCACCTGGCCTCCTCCATCTCCTCCCCTTGCCCTATCTCCCTTCAGTACTTCTCCCCCCTTCTTGTCCCCCATCTCTCTGCAGTCTGGCTCCCCTTCTTGCCCACCTTTCTTCTCCGAACCCCTCTCCCACCTTGAGCTTGCATCCACCCCTCACACGCTTGCAGGCACTCTCTTGCACCTGGCCACACCTGCGGGGACACCCAGCCTTTCATTCACTCACATCCGTTCCCAATGGACCCTTTGTATTCTCACTCCCTGGGGGGCATGGACTCCAGCCCACACCCACAGCTCTGCCACCCACTCACTCTTGACACAACCATAATAATCACTTGCAGCAAGTAAGCAGGGAAAAACATTTAAAGATCTACAAGAATTTAGATAATTTACTCCCCAAGAACTGCCACTACAGGAAACATGAATAATTAATTTATAATACTGGAATGAGTACAGGATAAATTGGGGTTTATGACACTGGGATGAGGAAAACTTTTCTAGCCATGACATAAATCCAGATTTCTTAAAAATGAAATCCGAGTAACATTAAAATTAAACTTTCGTGTAATGTTATGAAAAATGAATTTGTAAAGACAAGCTAGGAAAACATCCACCACTTAAGATAAAGTCTAATTTCCTTAAAATAGTGGTGGCTTAAAATCATTAAGGACTGATAATCCAATAGTAAAATGATGAGGGAAGAATGGGCAGCACCCCGAAAGACAAAATACAAATATCCAATAAACTGAAAATTTGCCAACGCTCACTAAATACAAAATGCAATGATGCCATTTATTTTTTGCTACTCAAACTGGCAAATTTGTAAAAATTGATAATATAGAGGATTGGCAAGCAGGAAAGAAAATAGGTATTTTTGTGTCACTATAATAATGTAAATTGGTAAAAACTTTTTGGCAGGGTAAACTGGGAACGGATTAAAATCATAAAGATCTCCACTGTCTGACTCAGCACCTGTACCTCCAGGAATAGATCCTACAGTGACTTTCACAGGGCAGAGGTGAGTGAGGCTGCGCGCTGTGGCACCGTGCCCACCTTCCATGCCTGTCGCCAGAGGGGCCATGAACTAAATGCTGGGGCAGCTAATGCTAGAGCAGTGCCATTGCCAAGAGTGAGGTGGGCCTGTGTGCAGGACATGTCACATGTCCAAGATACGCTGCTAAATAAAGAGGCAGGGTGCACAAAAGCCTGAATAGAATATTACCGTTTTTGTAAAAAAGTGGATATGTAAACAGAAGGAAATATATCAAATGTTCACCAAAATGCTAATGGTGATTCCAGAGAGGTGGGGATAGAGAGCACTTGCACCTTATATATGTATATATACATACACACACACCTTTTTAATGAGCATATATTAGTCTAATTAGCAGAAAAATACAAATAAAAATGAATCATGATTAGTAAAGCCTTTCATAATTACTTTAAAATTTCTGAACATAATGAATGATGGGTATAGCTCAAATTTATCTGTCCTTATTCATATAGATGACCTCTGAATTAAAGTAACCAACAGGTCCACTATTACAGATAAAGAGCACTATCGGAGTTTTCACTTGGTCATAACTTCCTTTCCAAACTCTGCTGACTGCCTCCAGGCATAGTGTGACACCCCACGGATAAGAACCAACTCACGTGGCCAGGTGTGTGTCAGAAACTCACCCAGTGTCTCCTGGCCACCATGACTGACTCCCAGTGCCTGAGCAAACACAGAACTGCAGGAACAGGAAGGCCCAGATTCTCAAAGGATTCATCTACCCTTGCCAGACCAATCCCTCTGAAGATACACTGACTTCCACGTTTCTCTCTAAATCCGAGGTTTACAAAAGTACCCAAGATGCTCACCCAGAGAGAAACAGGGACATCCTCTGGCACAGAGAACAGAGGTAAAAGGGATCAGCTGGAACATCTCTGGATTTAGGAGAAGGAAGATGGCCCCAAGGGCAAGAGACATTGGTGGCAGGTCTCCAGTCAGGGCCCGAGAAGGGAGAGAGCCCAAGGGTCTCTGCCGCTGCTCCCCACATTCCATCCGTGCAGTGGGGCTCACATGCTGGTGCTGTGAAGCCTCTCCCACACTCTACATGGACCGTTTCTGCAGGGGCTGGAGGTCGGTCCTATCATCCCAGCAACAAAACAAGCAGGGGATCCTAGGCTCAGCGATTATCCATAGCGACCAGATTATTATAAAGATGGGGAAAACCCATGGCTTAAGGGTGGGAGCAGGGGAGGACTACATTTTCCGAAATGCAAAATTTTCCTTCTACCTTCCCCCATCAGTTGCACAATTTTTGTCTAGTCCAAACGTAATTTAAAATGAGGTAGGTAGTTTCTCTCTCCTCTGCCTTTGTCTTTGTGGTGACTGTCGAGGCCTGTGCCGTGAAAGCACCGGTCTCCCGTGCAGGCGGAGTGCCGGGGGTGGGCACTGGCGACTGGTGGAGCGTCTCAGTTGGCTATCTTCTCAATCTCGTCCAAATCATCCGTGTCCAATCTTTCTATTTTCTTATCTGGGGAGAAAAATGAGAATTCAGAGAGAAATCAACGCGGGGCTCCCATGGAGACACACACCTAGGGAAGGGACAGCACGGCAGGGAGAGAGGAAACACACAGGGTTCTGCCCGGCCTAGGAACAGGGCCATGCCTCTGGCCACAGCCATCTTTCCCTTGACCCCAAAGACTCCCGGTGCCTGAGCGAGGGACAGCCCTAGGCCCTTCGGCCTGGCCAGGGGGGCACTGTCATTCGAGTCCCTGGCCCTGAAAACTCGCCAGGTGTGCTCTTTGAGACTTCCATACTGTAGGAAAGGAGGGGACTGTTACAGGGACACAGGCTTCTCTCGGGGCCACGGGAGAACCCACCCTTCCCCCTCCTTTGGACTCCCCCTGTAAGGAAGGGCCCTGGCGGGGACCACTCCCAGCCACTCACTAAAATGCTCCTGGATTCTGTTGAGGATGTTCATGCTGTGCTTGCTGTCAACCATGTTCACTGCCAGGCCCCTCTTGCCAAAGCGGCCCGTGCGCCCGATCCGGTGCAGGTAGGTCTCGTTGTCCGGGTTCCCATCCTTGTCCACGGGGAGGTCAAAGTTGATGACAACAGAAACCTGTTCGACATCAATACCTGCACGAAAGACAGGTGGAGAGGAGTCAGGACGGGAGACAAAAACCACCGCCAACCAAGCGAGGCTGAAATGCACCAGCTTCAGGTGGAAGGAAGAGTCTGGGGCAGGCCGGCTCTGGGATTCGGGGACGGGGGCACGCAGCAGAACCCAGAGGGAAAAACAGAACTTGGGCAGGTGCTAACAAAATTACACTGCCAGTGAGTGAGCCTCTGCTAGACACCAGTACCTGGAGATGCAGCCAGAACCTCAGTGGGGGCCCCAGAGAGAGCAGGCACTGTCCTGAACCAGTGCGATGCTGGTCCGTGTCCTTCCAGCATCGGGGCCCCTGGCTTCTGTGACAGTTCTTATCTGCCGGGGGAATCCAGTCTCTCCAGCACCAACCCCACGTGGACTCCCTCAAACCAGCGGAGTGCCCTGTATAGGATGACTTCCCTGCCGACCCGGGGCCTGGCGGACAGACGCATTCCCTGCTCACCGCGGGCACACACGTTGGTGGTCACCAGCACCTTCTCTTTGCCTTCTCGGAAGCGCTCGATCACCGCAGCCCTCTGCTCCACCATCATTTCGCCACTCAGCAGGGCCACCTGGTGGCCTTCTTTTGAGAGCTCTGCTGCCAGCCAGCTCGCTGTTTTGCGGGTCTGGAGAGAAGGAAATATTTGAGAAATGAAGGTATCTGAAGAGTGTATTTTTTTTTTTTTAACGTTTATTTATTTGACAGAGAGAGAGCATGAGCAGGGGGAGCAGCAGGCAGAGGGAGAGGGAGAGGCAGGCTCCTCGAGGAGCAAGGAGGCTGATGTGGGGCTCAATCCCAGGACCCCAGGATCATAACCTGAGCTGAAGGCAGTTGCCCAACCAACTGAGTCACCCCGGCGCCCCTGAAGAGAGTATTTTTGATCTGGAAGACTCTACCTGAAACTTAGTAGCTGAGGATTAAAATTCCTAAAATTGTTAACGTGATATGTTGTGACAGGAAATAACCTGTCACCTGGATATTAATCTCACAGAAATATTTAACCTGAATATAATCATGAGGGGGAGAAATGAGAGAAATTCTCAAGACTGCATACTAGCTTGGACTCTTCAAGATGTTTGTGTCATGAAAGGTGGGGAAACTGGTTCAGGTTAAAGGAGTCTCGAGAGACATGACAACTAAGTGCAACAATCTCTGACTGGCTCTTAGGCTTAACAACACCAGGCAGAAGCAATAAAGAACATTTTTGGTACAAGTGGGGAAAATGGAATATGGATGGACTAGACAGGGAATAATATTATTATGTCACTGTTAAAGGAACGACAGTGGCGTTGGGCTTCTGTAGGAGCACATCTCATTCTTGGGAAGTACTTAGGTGTGAACTGTCCTGATGTCTACAACTAACTTTAAAATACTTCATCAAGGGCGCCTGGGTGGCTCAGATGGTTAAGCATCTGCCTTTGGCTCGGGTCATGATCTCAGGGTCCTGGGATCGAGCCCCGCATCGGGCTCCCTGCTTGGCGGGGAGCCTGCTTCTCCCTCTCCCTCTACTCTTCCCCCTGCTTGTGCTCTCTCGCTCTGTCAAATAAATAAATAAAATCTTTAAAAAAAAAATACTTCACCAAAACCAAAAAGTATGGATGTGTCACACACACAAGCACATGGATAAAAGCAAACTGGCAAAATGTTAACAATAGGTGAAAGGCATAAAAGTGTTCATTTTTTTTTTCATCTTTTCTGGAGGTTTGTAATTTTGAGTCTGAGGGTGACACTCTAAAAAAGTTTTCAATTACAAGTCTTCCAATAATAGAGTAAGAATTGTCTCATTCTAGTATCCCTTAACATTTCTGAAGTGTTCTTCAAGTATCTTAAATATTTATCCCTGACTTTTTTTTTGCTATTATCAATGGAAACCTAGCCTTCCTTTTTGGTTTTTTTTTTTTGGCACAAACACAGTAAGTTTTTTATTGTTAATTTACTATGTTATTGTATGCAGAATAAAAAGTACAGGGACTGATCTGTTTGTGCATTCTCACTTCACATTCTTGAATTATAAGTAAGTGAACAAGGGGCGCCTGGGTGGCTCAGATGGTTAAGCGTCTGCCTTCGGCTCAGGTCATGATCCCAGGGTCCTGGGATCGAGTCCCGCATCGGGCTT